TCAAGAAAGGTCTTTTGAGAATGCTCACCACAGAGGCTGTCAAATCCTCGAGAGGTCAAACCGATGGTTTTGGTGGAAAGTATTATCAACGCTATGAAAAATCACATTCTTCCAAATTCTTGACCATTCTTCAGAAATATTCAAAGAAGGATTTCATTCGAATTCCATTATCTAAACGAAGAATGCAATATGAAGGCATGCATGTCGTGAATGTGTCCAAGGACAAACATGTGGTACAGTCTGCTTAATTAATCATCAAGATTCATTTCACAAATCAAAAAAAAGATCATCCTGCTTTTCGACATTACGAAAAGATTTCAAAACTTCGAACGATTCCAATCACATGTCCTCTGAGAGTGCTCAAATGGCTGTTCCAACCAAAGATATTGAAAGCGTATCAGTGGGACGTATTTCACTTCAAAAGATTGTGCAGTCTGCAAAACCAGATCAAGATATATCAGCCATTGTTCTTGAATTGGAAAAAAGAAAGGAAGAGCAAATTTAGGTTCCGAGTTCACCTTTGAGAATACGTTTGGACTGCACAAAGATGATTTACATCACTTTTTGAAAACGCAAAAGAAACATTTTTTACACAAATTCTTCTTGAGATTGCTGCATGCATTTAAAGAAAATTCAAACATTTCTAAAGAGTCCAACATGGTTTTGGCAGCCATCATCAAACACAGTCGTCTTCATCCAATCAAAGCTAAAAAATTTTTTTCAAGAGCTCCGAGGAGAACTTTACAAATTGAAACAAGTCAACAAGAAGGACAAATTCATCTCATAGAAATATTGTGAATTAGTACAAAATGTATTGGCCAGCATAAGAAGTGCCAGAGTTCAAAACGAACTTGTGAAATGGTCAACCATGCATCCATACTTGGCTCAAAATTACATTTATGCCTCCATTGTGATTGCATTTCCAACTGAATATTCCTACAAGTTGTTACATACCCTCCAATCGAAAGGACTTACTCCATTTACAACTAAGATTGGCAAGAAAATATTCAAAGAAGAGAATGAAAAGGTGAAAAGAGCTGCATTTCTCACTTATTCGCATCTTTCATCGCGCCTCAGAGATGTTCGATTGTCTGAGAAAATTGTGAAGGATATTCTTCAGAGAATTACATCAAATAAAAAACGAGATGTGGAAGAGTTGACAACTTGTATCCATGCGTTGAATTATGCAGGAAAGGCAGTATCTATTGGTATTCTTTATACCTATTTCGCAAATAACAAAATTCCAGATTTCATTAAGGTCATGCTTGTTGATAATTTAAAGAAGAGATTGCATGATGATCCATTGATTGATCAGCTTGTGAGAGACATTGCCACAAGTAATGACACTTCTTCAATTGTGAAAGCAAGATTTATTCATGCTCAAACTGAGAGAGAAAAACAATAAGAAGTGCGTCACATGTCAAATTTTTCTCAAAAGTTCATGAAAGAGCCACTTGTGAAGAAACCAAGAATGCGATTTGAAGATATTTTTACACAGTTGGCACTCAAGAGTCAGGAGATGCACTTTTGAAAGCTCTGAAATTAGAGACACCACCATCTTCTTCTTCTTCCTCCTCCTCAATAACAACAAACAAGAGGTTCCACTCCAAATTGGCTGAGGAGAATAATGATGATGAGATTTTGGATGTTCAATGAGCAAGAGTATGTACAAACGTTAGGACAATTACGTTTCTTTAGAAAAGTGTTTCATCGAATCAAAAGGCTGTTGGAAAATTTCGTTCGATTGGTCACAAACATTTCATCATTCCATTCGAAGACACATCTTTGTGGTTGGTAAAAGGGTTCTAAGAATTATTGGAAGAAGAATATTTAAATCGATAGGAAGATTTATTAGAAGAGCCAAACATTGGAGATCTCGTCACAAATCCTCAAGAAAAAAAAGTGTGGCTTTAAATGCTTTTTGTCAATCTTGGAAAGGGAATCAAACGAGGTATTGTCAAGTTAGGACGCTCCTTTAAAAACAGCAAAAAAGTCTTTCAGTGGTGAAAGTTTTTGTAAAATTTGCAAAACAAATGATTGACAGCACCAAAGAAATGGTAGAAACTGCTAAAAAATCCAAATTGCATTTTCAAAACCTACTGATTTTAAACGAGAACGTGTCTGTGTGAATGTGAATGTCAAGCATGAAAAGATTTGTACCGTAGATCCTTCCATGTTGAATTTTATTAGAAAACAAGGAGCACTCGACAAGAGTAAGGGATTTCTTTATGAAAGACACAATCAACCTGTTCATGACCTTCTTACAATCTCTTCCAAAAACAAGCAGCAGAACCCAACATTCCAATTCAAGTCTTTGCTGGCCCAGTTCCATTGAATTTTGCCTTTTATGCAACTGTCGGTGTGGATATTAGTTATGAATTATGTGCGAATAGAATTTCAGCATCTGTCTCTCTAGAACCTTTTGTAGCAATCAGTTTGGGAGGTAGAGCTGGAATTGGAGTTGCAGCGTTGAGTGCTGGCGTCTTTATGGAGGCAACCATTACTTACAAATTTATTCCTCGAATTGCTGTTGAAAATTGTAATGTTTGTATCATGTTGTTGCATGGAATGGAACCCATTGAGTTTAAAGGTGGAATTTTTGTTGCATTGCCACAACAGACAGTGAATTGCACTTCCAAGTATTAAGATCAACGCAAGCACGTTCCGTCACAAGTTGGCTCAAATATGTATTCCAATTGGAGGAAATTCAAGTGGAAGACCCATTGTACAAGTGTTGCCTTCGTTCTCTTCTCGTAGAAGCTTCAGGAATGTTTCATTACCAAGAGATCGTCAAATTGAATTCCATCGTCCGAAGGATCCAAAACCACCTAAACGCAACAATCAACAAGGTCATCATGAATTCAAGAGGCCTTTAGCTCCTAAAGGTTATCGTCTACCATTTTCTCAAGTTGCTAAAATATGGAAACGACTTCCTGTCATTCCCACATTCAAGCTAAAGAGAATTGCAAGAAAGGACGGTTATAAAAACTGGGCCAAGAAAATTACCATTTACAGAAATCAATTTGGACCTGGAGCATAAAAATCAAATCTCCTACCTTCAAAAAACCAAATAAGGAATCATTAGCTCCTCCTGTTCTAGTTCCACAGCAACAGGTTTGGTCCACTCGATTTTTAAAGAGACACGTTCCTGTAAAGGTCATTCAAAAATTGGGATTTGAGAAATTGAGACATCTTCCAAAAGAGTATTTTAACGGAAAATTCACAAACAATTGCCATTCCAAATGAATTTTCCACTGAACCAAAGAAGCCTCAGAAAAGAGTGACAACAACGATCAACGAACAAGAAGTGGTGGACACTCCCGAGCACTCGAAATTCTGCAGTATTTTTCACTGACTTTACAAGTAAATGAGTTGGTGTTTGAAAACTGATAATTTTAAAGTTAGTCGAAAAGTCAGCGGATTTTTGAATTTAATCCCTACTAAGTTTACTCTACTCTGTTCCAAATCTGCAGTTCACTTAAATCGATATCTGATTTTATTTAAATAAGCATTGAAATATTTCATCGAATTCAGTAAGAAAAATTTATTGATGAATCAGTTGAAAAATAAGGGACTGATTTGAAGTGAAATCAGTTTCTGAATAAGGGACTGATTTGAAGTAAAGTCAGTACCTAAATTAGACTCTGAGTTGAATTGAAATCAGTATCCAAATCTGACTCTGGGTTGAATAAAAATCAGTTGAAAAATAAGACTCTGGGTTGAATTAAAATCAGTCTCCAAATCATACTATGGTATTGAAATTAGTCTACGGATAAGACACTCATTGGAATGAAAATCTCCAATATCGTATTTCATAGTAATCCATGGAAGGCTTGAATAATCCACTTCTAATTCAGTGTAATTATAATTTCTCGCTATCAATCATCGTATCATCTTTTCAAATAAGCTGATCATCAATGATTCAATGCTTACCTTGACGATGACCATGACACCTTGTGTTCAATTGGGTCAAGTAATACCAACTTTCCTTGATTCATGAATTGTTCTGAATGTAGTGAAGGGTAGGAATGTTCGATTGTAACAATTAATGAGTTTGGTTGAGTCTTTGAAAAAATTTTCATACTCAACACAAACTTGGTATTGTTTAAATCAAGAACAAGTCATTCCTATGAACTTGTTTAAATTTACCACAAACTTGGAAACATGGTATGGCGTTTTTTGGCATTTCATCCAATATTTTGACTTGATTCGAGTCTAAACTTTTAACGTGATACAAGCCATCCTTTTTACTGGTCACGAGACCATGACCAAATTCTTGAGCATGAAAATAATCACCCTTTTCAAATTGAAAATGAAAAGTTCTTACTCGTTTCATGGAAATGACTTGATGTAATCAACATTTTCAGAAAAAAAACTCAAGTTCTTTTCTCTTACCACTTTACAACACATGTCTCAACAATCAAATAAACAAGGCTCTTCTTCTCACGAGAAGAAACGGTTGAAATCATCTTCAGTTGACCTTATTAAACGTAAGAAGAAGAAACATACCCCAAAGGAAGTGGAAGTCCTTAAAGCTGAACACTATAATTCTGTAAAGCAAGTTCTTCAGCTATTGAAATCCAAGAACAGTCAAACTGAGGCTTCCACTTCAGTAACCAAGAATCAAAAGAAAAGGTCATCAAAGAAGAAGACTGATTTGCCTGATGTCACTGTTCCGCACATCAGACTCATTCTGGAGAATGTCAGTGCTCGGTTGAAGGACGAAACATTGCAAGATGAGTCCGGTCAATTACCACCTCCATTGGAAATCAAAAGGCTTTAAAAACAAAGCAACAATTGATTGACTGTCTCACTAATTACCCACAATATGAGACCATCATGACGGTGTTGCAACAGATCCTAAATAACCTCCAGCTGAAAGTGTTTATTGAGAATCATGTTCTTTCTACCACTGAAAAAGTGACATGTAATCCTTCTCACGTTCGTTCGATTTGTTTAGGAAGTAGAAAAGAGTCCCAGCTCATTCATGTTGCCAATGCCACCACCAATCCGGCGTTGAATGCACAAAAGTCAGACTGCTTAATTGTTACCATTACAAAAGTCTTACCAGAAGCCATGAAACTGGTCACATCTCTTCCCGACGAGTTTCATGTAAACTCGTTGCATGAATGGAGTATGGAGTGTATGGTGTGGGATAAGAGTGAACCATTAATCACATCTCAAAACTTTTTCAATGCAAACACCAACCAATTAGTATTACCTTCTGTTGAAAATGATTTGTTCAAGCAGAATAATTCTGCAGCCTGCTATATGGATGTGTTGAATTCTTCTACTGTGATTCAAAAGGATCCCTTGTCCATGATCTTTGCCTCTCAAAAGATATGGTCGTGCCTGCATTCTCCACTCAAAAGATCTGTCTGAAGTGGTATTGCCTCAATCCATGCAATCTCAACCACCAATGCAATGCAATTTCAACCGTCAGTACAACCGTCAGTGCAATCTCAAGCCTTGGCTTCTTCATCATTTCAGAAAGACCCGACCAACACCACAATACTCTCTTCTCAAACTGATGTTTTGACTCCAGTCTTCTCCTCTTCAGTGGGCTCACATTCCACCATTCCAACGATCCATGAATTTGAAGAATTGAAAAAGAAGTATGAAAAAATTGTCGACATTAATCATGATCTCCAATTCAATATGAAAAGGATTCAACGAGAATTGGAACAAGAGCTTCCTTCATATACCAGCACACGGAAATCAAGGAAACCACTCGCCAGTGGAGCAACATTTTCAATACTCACAAATAATGGCCGAACTTGATTGCTTTGTAATAAAATAAATAAACAAAAACATTTTCTCCCTTAAAATTCATCTTGATTTTTCGGAATCAGTATGAAAATGTGGAATTTACTGATTTTGCGACTGGTTTTTTTCTGACTGAATTCGAATGCAAGTTTGCTCACTAATTTCATTAAAAATACGAAATTTCGAGTGCTCGGGCTGGTAAAGAAATTGTACTTTCCAATTAACCTGTTGTGAAAATTTACAAGTTTAACAAAAGAAAGAAAACAAATTAATTTATTATTGGAACACCAACGCGTGCATGATTGGAAGGCCAAGTAATTGAATTCCATACCACGAAGTAAACAAGAGTTTGTAAATACGATCGTCGTAATATCTCTTCTTTTCAGAGTCACTTGTCAAATTGCCATTCATCATGAAACCAATGGACATGCCAATGAACTGCAGTGGTGTGATTAAACAGTACACTCTAAAAATCCATTCATATTCAAATCTCACAGAATACCATTGACAAAGTTTCAACATGGCAACAAAGTAAAACACTCCTGCTGCAATACTTTTAGCTAAAAAGACTACTCTTGAATAGGAACCTAACAAAATTGGAAGTGTCACTCGACCAGACATGGCATCTCCTTCCAAGTCTCGAAAATCTTGAGCATCGATGGTCATTAGGAAGGTCAACGCAATAATATAGACCATCATCTTTACGGTGTGGTCGTTGTCATGAAATCCATTCAAAATATGCCAATAAGGAATAATCATGCAGACAACACCGATGGTGTTTGACAAATTCTTGAAAAACCAATTCTTGGCAAATCCACAATGATTATGAAGAACATACGCAAGAGTCCACACCAGACCATACCAAAAGAGATGGTGAGATGCACTCATGGCCAAGTAAATGGTGCATGCAAACGCCCATCGAATTTTGGTTTCTTCTAAAGAAGTCTCACCAGAGACGAGAGGTCGATAAGTTTTCTCATTGAGTCGATCTTCCTCGACTCCATCCATTTGATTGGACATGGTAAATGGATAGACAAAGAACACGGCAAAAATTAAAAATCCAATTAGGGATAAAAAGTTCATTGCCAAAAATAGTAAACTATGAGACAAGGACGCAAACCCTTCGAATGAACCTCTCTCTGGACTCAAATACATTGAAATCAAAGCACTCACACGACACGACAATGCAAATGCAACCGAAGGATATATCGTAATATTAAAATCGTTCTTGCAGTGTAAGTAAAACACAAAGAACTCTCTTCTCACCTTTGATAGCAACCACTTGTGAAATGAAAGAAGAATGGACACGAACGGAAGATTCTCTTTCAGAAGTAATAGTTCATTTTCCTCTCTTCTCGTGGATGAAGGGATATATGGAATGGACAACACTTCTGGGTGATGATAATGAAGGGATGCAATCATGGTGTGTGATTAGAGTTCAACAGTTAATGGTGGTGAATATATTTGTTGTTGTTTTTTTCAATGTTTTTGGAAATGCAAGGTGATTCAGGGTTATTACTTAAATGCTTCTCTTGGATTTAAGGAATTCCTAACACAGGAGCTTGTCCTTTGAAACCATTTGGATGTGTTGCTTTTCATCCCGATTGTGATACATTTCGAATTATCCCGAGTGGTTAAACAAAGTGAAAGGTTTCTTGAGCTGGAAAGTCATTTCTTTAATTCTCTTGAATTTGCAACCACTCACCTAAATTCACCTTGCAGGTAATTGTGCTTTTATGGTATTTTGTTGAGAATCGATGAAATGTTTACCATATAACAAGAATGAAATGTGAAAAATTCAACGTGATGTGCCGGAATTGCATTTGAATGTGAATAAATCATACCTGACTTTCCAATTCGAGTTATTCATTCGCTGCGATGGAAAGGATGGAGGAATTCCTTTTACTTACTTTTTTCATGCACGTCATCAGCGATAGCCTTTTAAGTAAACCCCAAAAATGAACCGCGATTCCTCCAATCACGCACAAAAAAACAACACATCAAACCGAGAACACGGCGTTCACCAAACCGTCACCATCACCACCCCTACATATTTTTTTCTCCTTCCAACAACACCGAATAGTAACAATGACGAATCATAACTTGACCGGATCATCAATCAGTAGTGATGAAACTATATCCTCCACAAATTCTTCTTCTTCATCCATACAAACACAACTTGAAAATTATAAATACCTTTGGATAAAGTCAGCTGCACAAGAACCTCTTCCGGTTCATCATTTATCGGAAGAAGAACAATTGAGAGAATACAAGCGAGCATATAACAAGTTTTGGTCCAATTATGTGTATGCTGATTTGATTGATTTGTATAAAGAAATTGGTTTTTCTGAATTTTCAGAGGAATCACAATAAATGTAGAGGTTTGAAAGTTCAGAGCTGGTCCAATTAAATTGGAGAGGACTTTTCTTATCGGGACTACAGTTCAAGACAACGGTGACAATTTAATGGGATGATCATTGTTTCGTGTTGTGTATGGGATTCACATATTATTATTAGAAGCATCGTCACGTCTGTCGTTGCAACTGAACTTTTCGATCGCAGCATTGCCATGTAATTTAAGAAGAAGCAAAGACCTCTCTACAATGACGGGCCATTCCGCTCGGCTTCAATCGAGGAACTACTGCAGCTTTAATCATAACTGAATAGAAAATTTTGATTCACAGTCTTGTCCTAGATCAGCCTTGAGAATAAAGAATTTCAATGGCTCGCAAGAAATTGAGTCAATTGCCTTGTTGAGCTTGCTAATATTAATGGACAAAATGTTGTCGTGCATAATCTGTTTCAGGTCAATCAAAAGAACAACCAAACTAACTGCTAACATGAAGAAATCAAATCCAACTCTTGCTTTTTTCTCTTCCAACTCCATTGAAGGGAAGATACGCTTCTGAACATGATACCACTGTTTCTCCAATTTTCACACACGAACCAAAATCTCCAAGAAACCACTCTCCATTAGTGCTAACAAAAATATTAGCTGGTTTGACATGAATATATTCGAGTGCTTTCAAGATTTTCTTTCCCTCTTCTAATAATGTTTCTGAAGTAAGAAGGTTTGCCAAAAGAGCTAAACTTCTTGGATAATGTGGCATTATTAGGCAATAATATTTTCCATCTGAAAATTGGTTCGTGTAATCCTTTCCTTCTAATGATACTGAGCAAATCTTAGTTTGAACGATACCAGGTACAAGAGAATTCTCCAAATCAAGATCCTTGGTCATTCGTACTTCTGAACTCATCAATATTTTGGCCAATATTGGTGCGCCAGTTTTATCTGCTCCTGTTATAATATTGGCATTAAAAGTTGGATCGTAAAGGTCATTCAATCTTATACCATAGTCATACTCAAGTTTATCTTTGGTTGTTGTTGCAGGAAGATTGTTGAAAAAATCATACAATTCGAAAGCACTCTCAGGAGAAGACACAGCATGAAAGCGATGAATATAGTTATTTAGTAATCTTTTCAAAACAGCTTCAGCAGGTCTTTGTATTCCAGATACAGCGAACAAACGCTTGAAGTGCTCGATATTCATAAAGAGAGGGGGTTGTGTATTTTTGTCGTCCCATTTAGGTTTTTGTTTTAGAAGTATCCTATCATTCACCCATAAAACTATGGCCCTACAAGTGAAGTTTAATACAGTAGACATATTATCCATAAACATGCTTATTATTTGCTCATTAGCATACGATATTCCTCCATCTCTATATAATTAACGACCATGTTCAGAAACGACCCCGAACAAAAACCAGAAAAAGGGTGAAGCATTTCTGTTGTCGAACCAGCTCTCGAAAAGAATCTTAATAACCTGTTGTTCGTTGAAATTGGCAAAATTTTGTAAGTCGATGGAGGAGACTTTGAAACACATGCTTCCCTCATTATCATCATGTTGCAGCATTTTTTTGCCCAAAGACCCAAAACTACTTGCCCTCAATGCACTTGAGGAATTTTTCGAATCCGTGTTGTTTATCATCAACTGTATTTCTTCTAATAACAATTTTGTATCGAGTCTCTGTATTTCAATGTTGGACGTTTGTTTATAAAATGTAGGTTTTGTTTTTTTAAACCCCAGATGTTCAAGAGCCGATTTTCTTGCTAAACATCCAAAATCAACCTGTTTTTTAATAATGTCATCAAGTCAGTACATTGATGACGCATTCTAATAGGATTTGCTGAAATTATTGCTTTCATGAAAACGGAATTTAGGAATTCTTTGAAACTGAATTGATACACCAGCTTTTCATGAGTGGCCTTATCAACATCTAGTAATCATTTTCCTTGTAGAGATGCAAAAATTCTTTTGCAATTATTTTCAAAAGAGTTTCCTTCAAAAGATGCCCAAAAGGGTACTCATAACAGGCACCATAATTAAAGAGTGTTCATGTTGGATCTAAATTCAACTCAAATGAACAACTATTATTTGAAATAACTGAAATCATTTTGGCAACGCCCTCATCATTGGCTCTTTAGAACTTTCACCAGTAGTTGTTTGAAACTGTCTAAGATAATGGGTTTATATGCAACTTCATCAAACCCTTGATTTAGCAAATGCTCTTTCTGTTCCCATGTATTTGCTGTAACTGCAACAATTTTTGCTGTTTTGATGTGGTTGCCTTGGTTTTTTTCTACTCTTCTTATCATCTCACATGCTTCTTTTCCACTAATGAAAATCGAAAAATTCATTTCGTTTTCAAACGCATGCTGTACATACCTCATTATTGGCATGACACAATCTAATAGAATAAGATCATATGATTTTTGTTTGTATTTCTCAAAGCATTCCATACCGTCCTTTGCGAGATCAATGTCCTTAAAACCAATAATTTTCATCATTCTATCGAGTACTTTTCTGTTAATTTCATTATCATCTGCAAGCAACACAGAATATTCATCAAATGACATGTCAGATTTATGACTTAATTCTTTGTTAGAGTGTTCATCTTGATTCGCCTCATCTTTGTTTTTTCCGGAACTAACACACCCACCATTCGGCAACGTTAGTAATGTCTCTCGAAGTTCATTAAATCTCACTGGCTTTGCAAGATATCGATGTTCCAAATAATGTCGTCTTGCTCCTCTCTCGCAGGTTAGAACGAAATTAAGGGTGGGAAACTTATTTCGTACATGTTCAAACTCTGTCTCCTCAAGAAATAAAAAATCAGGAGATGATGACTTGAGTAATGAGGAAAGGTTTTGGATGCTGTCAAACTCTAATATCTCGCTGAATTGGTTAAACAGTTTAAGATAACATTTCAAAACATCTCTAAAGTATTCATCCTTGTCAATAATCCATACTGTTTTTGCACTTTTCATTTCTGCATCTTGATTGTTGGGAATAGTTAACGTATGCTCATCGACTTCGTTGACTCTTTCTAGTGGTAAAATTATAGTCATGGTGGTTCCTTTGTTGACAACACTTTTAACACTAATATGCCCATTCATTTTGTTAATTAGAAGCTTTGCAATGCTCAAGCCAAGTCCATTTCTATTAGTATATATTAAACTGCTTCCTCCATCGCCCAATTTGTTTATATTCCCTGATTGCATAAAGTATTGCTCAAAACCTAATCGAACATCCTCATGATTTTCAATTATGTGAAAGGGTTGGAATAGGCTATGTAGTTGATCCTGCGAAATACCGCACCCCGTATCTATGCATTCCAATTTCACAAAAATTGTTCCTGAGGAATGGTCAGTTGATTGAGAGATCCTTTCATTATCCCAATCTTTTAAATCTTGATCCGTCGCAGCACAGCAATTCACTCTCACAAATCCCTGTTTTGTGTATTTAATAGCATTCGAAATCAGATTCATCAAAATCTGGCTGATCCTAATCGAGTCCCCTTTTACTATTGACGGTAATTGAGAAACATTGCAAAACGCATGCAATACAATTTTCTTTTCGTGAGCAAGATGTGAAAAAACACTCACCAATGAATCCACCAGAGATACAATTGAAAACGGTTCAGAATTGATGATTATTGAACCAATTTCAAGAGAGCTCATTTGTAAGGATGAAGAAAATATGTGCAAGAGCAACGTTGCATTTTCCTTAATATCTTCCAAAGTTTCAGAAATGGATGCATTTTTAAGGAAGCAATGCTTACAACTTTGTAAACACTGTTCTCCTTCGAATTGGTGATGTAGCACTTGTAAACTTCCCATAATGCATTGAAGAGGATTCCTTGCTTCATGACTCAAATTGGCGATGAATTTAGATTTTTCAGAGCTTTTTACCTTTTCTTTCGTAATTTCTACTTGTTGTCTCGTGAATTCTCGATTCGTTCTGGACAAAGCGTCAGAGAATAAATAGGCGCCTAGAGTGACACCACACTGTAAAATAAACACTTCTGATAGCTTTGAATAAAAGAGACTGATTTCCTCTTGATGCAGATTGTGTTTCCAAATCCGAAAGGAAATAATCATTGCAGTACAAGCTCCAAAAATCAGTGAGAATCCTGCAAACAACATGAGCTTCAAATTAAAGCAAAAATTCTTTGTGGTGATGAGAATTTTAAATGTAGAAAGTACATGATAAGGAAAGAAAGGACCAAAAATTGTGTAGACCAAAAGTTGAACAAGAATCATCCCAACAATTCGTAAAATGTTGGTGGAAACAAATCCTTTCAGAGTATTCGGAACAATGGCATTCAATGATATTTGAAAAGCAATTTCCCCCGCTGAGATACAAAGAAAGAGCCAATACTTTGGATGGGGACAAAAAGTCAATGCGAAAATAATTGGAAGCACGGATAAGGACAATCCGGCCTTGTTATGAATCTTTCTTTGCTCCAACAAGTGATCTAATAATGCTTTCTCAGCATATTCTTGTTGCGGTTGTTCGGAAGCAGGAGAAGGACCAAGAGGAATCTCCTTATTGGAAGATGAAGACGACGACGGTGGTGCACTTGCCGAGGCTGCTTCGGGCATGGGGCGATGATGATGATCTTCTTCAAAAGCGGCGATTTTTTTTGGGCAAAGTCGATCAAAATTTTCTTTTTGTTGGGTGTGTCTGTTGTTCTGGAATTTTCCTAAAAGTGAATCTTCCAAACAAGGATGGAATCAACTTACCTTAATGGATCTTTTGAGAATTTTTCACAGTGAATGTTGATAGATGTTCAAATAAATTAATTTTAATTTTTATTAAATTAAAAAAACTCTCTCCTTGATCCGAATATTTATCCCGAAGAGATCTTTTCGTTCCAACACGATGAAGAGCTGATTTTGGATTATCTTTCATGTAATGAAGCAGCGAAAATGAAAAGAAAATTTTTGATAACAACAACCATGATGATGAAATTTGCAATTACTAGTTTCAAAAGATGACTGATATTTATTCCGTGTCATATTTCACGCGGTTTTTGCAGGTTAAGTTCCGTACTTATATGTGAAAGCGAAACTTATCCATCATTGAAATAATAATAGACTGAAACAATTCCGTGTCATTTCAAAAAAATCTAATTAGTTTATTGTTAGCACCACTGGTGCTGGTAAATCCGTGAGGATTGGGGTTTGTTTTTGAATTGGTTTTTTAAACCTTGAGTTTTCATAATACTTGGTGTGACATTTACCAACTAGTAGGGTGAGAATTGTTTGGATTTCAGGCCAATTTTGGTAAATATTTGGTAAATTTTTAAAGTTGGGCATTTGAGTATCTCGAATCATTACTCCGTCATGATGAATAATGAAAACTTTCCTTCTTTCACAGTATCTTGATTCTTGATAATCGTTGAGGATACATTGCATTGATGTAATATCTAGGAATTTAGTGTAGAAAAAATCCCTAAAGCATTGAGTATTAGGGCAATAGTATATGAAATGTTTTAGAGTTCCGGGGCATTTACAGTGAGCGCATTGTCTTTCCTTATGTTGTTTGATATGGTTGCTTGTTAAGTTTCTCCAGATTGACCACTTAGTATTTGTGTCAATTTTAGATTTGATGAATTTTAGATTGATAGATGACCAGTTCTTGGTAAGGTGTAGACTGGAATTATCTCTATCAAATTGGCTAAACATTACATCATATCTTTTCTTTTGTATGGATTTTTGATGTCGAAAATAATGGTATTAGATGTGGCAAGGATGGTTTGGTTCGAAAATAGCTTCTTAATGTCAAAATAGTTGTGCTCTTGAGCTCCTTTCTTAGCTAATTCGTCAGCTTTGATGTTTCCTTTGTTGACATGACCTTTAACTTTGATTAGTTGAATATTTAGATTGGATTGTTGAATGACCTGTTGATATTCATGCTTGAAGCAGTTAAAAATTCCGTTATAGGCTTTGTTTTTCAAAACGTGGATGGATATTTCACTATCTGTGTGAATTTTTGCCTTAGATTTAGGTGGAAGTATCTTTAGTGATGTGAGTATTGCTGATAATTCAGCAACGTTATGTGAGTATTCGCTGTTAATTTTGTATGAGAAATCTTGGGTTTCTTGGGAATTGTTAACTTTGGCGGTAAAGCCGAAACCTGTTGAGTTGTTGAGATTTGATCCGTCAGTGTAAATAGTAAAATTCTTTCCTTTGAGTTTTGGAAAGATTTCGTCATTGTTAAATTGTTGAGGTCTGATCTTGTATTTCTTCATTGATCTGTTCATTTCCTTAAAAATCGAATTTTCGTGTTTGATTCCTTCTGAATATACTTCTCTAAGAAGTTCATTATCATTGTTAATAAGATACAGGGCTGTTTTGATTCGAATTTCATCTGCAAAGATATCGAATCTTGGAATACCAAGTCCGCCATAGGTGATTGGGAGGTGAAAATAGTTTGTTGGACTAGCATTATGCATGAAAATTTTCTTTCTTATTGCTTTTCTTACTTCAATGTTAATTCTATCAACAAGTGATTCAGGAATGTAATTTGTTCGTAAAATGTGTGTAAATAAGCTAGTGCATTTGGCAAAAATTACTTTCTTAATGTTTGTTATCTCCATTCTTTTCAGTGGAATATATTTGAGTGAGAGTTGAAATTGGAGGATTCTTTTTTCAATATCTTCATTTAAAGTAGAGTCATCCCAAGGATAGTGTCCAAGTACTCGAAGGTTTTTGAATCTTGGTATAATAGTACCGTCTATCATTGGCTTCATTTTGCTTTTAGTTGGGAGAGTGGTTGCCATGGATTTTGAAGGATTAATTTTTAGACTTAATTGGCCGAGCCATTTAGAGATATTATCAAGTCTTTCGTTATAATTGCAGTATCTGTTTGAAACTAAATTAATGTCATCAGCAAAGCAGAGCAAACCAATATCGTTAATATTAAGCTTGGTTGGTTTGATTGAAATTTTCCATTGTTGTATGCATTTGTCAATGATGAGTTGAGTAATACAATCATATATAAGAGGAGCTAAAGGGCATCCTTGTGGTATTCCTCTTGTTTTTGTGAATGGTCTAGAGAGATGGTGATCAATTTCTAGCTGTAATATTTGACTCTTGTATGAGTTTAGTATAAAAGTTTTCAACTCATCTGGAAACTTACAATGAGTGAGAGCTTTTTCAATGATATGATCTTCAACGGAATCATAGGCGCCTTCGATGTCTAAGTTTACCAAAAGGAATGACGACTTGTTCTTTTTGGCTAGAGATGAAAGTAATAATCCGTGATTCATTGTGTTTCTGTGTGAAATAAATGCTTGTTGCCTTAAGTTGATGTGTTTGGAAGCCCATTGTCTTAATTCGTATGCAATTATGTTGAAAAGTATTCTGTAATATATTGGGAGAATGGTTATGGGTCTAATATCATTTAGTTTTGAATGTCTCTTTTAGGGAGTAATTTAATACCTTGTTGAATGCAGTTTTCAAATTGGTCAGCAATAAGTTGTAGATGTTCGTCTTTGAGATTACGTATAATTTGGAAGGATATTGAGTCTAGACCGGGTGTGTTGGATTTCATTCTCGATATCGCCTCTTTAATTGTTTTAAGGCTTATTTGTGGTATTTTCGGTCCTTTCTTGACGGTTGATGGTGGATTTTCAAAGTCTGATGATTTGGATACTGAGGTAAATTTTGTTTCAAAATGATGCACAATTTCTTCTTCAGAGAATTGGATATTTTTCCAATCTATTGATTTTTCTTTTAGATGTTTGTCAAACTGGTAAATCATTGAGCTGTCATGTTTGTTGAAATTTTCACTTAGTTTTGCTTTGATATCAGCTCCAGTTTCCTTGTATAGTACTTTGATATTATTTCTTAGTTTTTCAATTTCCTCGATATTTTGACCTTTTCCTTGTGTTGCAAGATGGAGGAGTTCTATTTCTTTGGTTTTGATTTCTTTCTTATTGATTGTGTTAATGTATTTGAGATTGGTCTTATCGTCTTTGAAAGAAAATTTGTTAACCATTTCTGATATGTCTTTCTGAAGTGCATCAAATGAATCATAGTGTGATTCGTTCAATGTTGTTGAGATTTGATTCATATCTTTCCTAGAGATGAAGTTTCTCCAACAATAGTCTGTTTCGAACTCAATGTCAATATAGAACTGTAGATGATCATTTTTGGATATTGGTGGCAAAATAACTTCTCTGATTATTCTGATGTTGTTAGAAACGAAGATATGATCAGGTCGTGATTTTTGAACTGAGTTGATGACTTTTCTGACGTATGTGTAATTCTCTGGGATGATTAGTTCTTTGAGTTGGAAACACTCAATAAGTTCTTTCCATTCTTTTTCTCTCGAATTTTGTGGTTTCCTTGTGTTGATATTGAAATCTCCTAGCACAATGTTGAATTCATTTTCACATTTTAGTAGAAGGTGAATAATAATGTTGATTATTTCATCATCATCTTCACCATCAGATGAAGCATAAACCGTAATGATGTTAATAGGTTTGTTTCTAGAGAAAAACCTTGTCCATTGAAGTTTTCCTTGTATTAGATTTTCGTTGGATATGAATCGTTTTCTTTTGTTGTTAAGAATATGGAAGAGAGCTGTTCCCTTTTGAGCTTTTCTTGCTCCAAATAGTGAATTAAAGAAGATACTTCCATTCCCTTTGTTATAGGCTTCTTTTTGATCTTCATATGTTTTTAAGTGTGTTTCAGTAATTGACATGATTTGGATGTTATGATTGTAGCACATCCCTTTGATTTCATTTGTCAATATTTCTTTTGTGGCTGTCTTTATGAGCCCGTTGCAGTTAAAACAGCCAATTTTCAAATTACATTTTGGTGACTTAATTGTTCTTATTTCCAAGAGGTTTATCACCTCTTCTAGGTTCTACTATATCTTCTTCTTCGTCATATTCCATTTCATCATCACTATTTTCATTTGGTTTTGGGTGATAAGATTCATTATCTTCATCTTCTACATCATCCTTGGATTCATGAATTAATTGATGGTACGGTTTTGTCAAATGTAATTCAATATTTTCCATTTTGGAAGCTATTTCGTTGAGTTTTTCAAAAATGGTCTGTATGGATTTTGTGTGGTCTGTTAGTGTATTGGTGATGTTTTGTATTTGTTTAGAATGTGATTCCAGTTTGATTGAGTTTTCAGTACATTCTACTTGAAGTGATTTGTGATTCTTTTCTAATGCTGAGAGGTCATTATTGAATTGGAAATTATTGGTTGCACCAGTCACTTCGTTTTCTTGTTGTTTTTGAATTTTTCTACCAAATATTTGGTTGTAGATATGAGTTTTTTGAGGTTGGTTTTGTGCCATTTGGTGGAGTGATACTTGTTGGGAATTTTGTAATTTTTTCCAATTCTGCAACATTAGTTGCTTTGTAATTGGCTATATAATAATGCTCTCCAGGGCGATATGGGCTAGGTTTGTTAATAATCTCTAAGTGGTTTGATTGGAAGACACAGTTGCTTTTTTCCACCATCTTTTGTATCGCAGTTTTGATATCTTTCTCTGTGTAGAGGGATGAAAAATTGCAAGAGCAGTTAAGCTTAGATTCTGTTATGATCTGGTCAATGGATCGGTATTCAGAATATTTCCTTGCCATAAAATATTCTTTATCTTCAAGAGATTCAACTGCTATTCTGATTTTATAAAGCTTTTGGACTCTGTCATAACTGGTATTAGTTTCTTTAACTCCATTAGTTCTTTTCCAAAAATTTTTGATAATGTGGTAGTATACTTCATCATCTCGTCATATGATGAAGTATGATATTTGAGGGTGTGTTCAGCTGGTGAGAAATTCATAGGAGTCACAACGTATTTGAATGGACTGGAGTCTCTTGTTGATTGTGAGTTTAAAATTCCCAAGGTTGATACATAATCTTCATGATTGTTACAGACAAGTTGGAGTACGTGCGTCTTGTCGTTAGGTATGTACCATGATGTAAGTTTTTCTTTGACTGCATCTGTAATAAATTCAGTGATGTCTGAGTCGATATGCTTACTGAGGTAAATAGATACACAGTGAGAATAGTTAATTGTTTTAGCTCTTTTAGCAGGAGGGTACATGGTTGTTGTTGTATTGTAGGATTTGATTTGCGGAGTTTTTTTGTTGGATCAAATGTAATGTTCTTGGCTGTCTTGGCTATTTGCAAGTATGACGATTGCGATTCATTCAGGTTGAAGCTGGTGTTGATAGGTGGGCTCTTAGATTGAAGCTGGGGTTGACTTTGGGGCTTTGAAGTTGTTTCAATTGGTTTGATGAGGTTTGTGCTTGTTTCAATTGGTTTGGTGAGGTTTGTGTTGGTGATGAAGTTTGTTGTCTTATTTTGATTGTTGATTTTCGATTTGTTTGTTGGATGTGTAATATTTTTGATTTTAGATATTTGGTTTGATGGTCCATCAGTTCGATAAGGATGTGCAGGGGATGGAGTTTGTTCTATGAGTGTTGTTTTTGGAGGAAGAGGTTGTTTAGGTTTAATTGGTTGGTTGCTGTCGGAGACTAATTTAACTGACTTTACCTTTTGTTTCCGATTATTGATGTGGTTAGATAATCCGTCCAATGTTTTTGAGAAATTCTCAATATGTTTAAAGATGATTCCGAAAGCTTCTGAGTGGGTCATCAATGTTTGGTTGATACTATTCATTACAACGTCTTCGTTTGTGTTCATTTTTTTTGCGACGGCACAGTCAAAAAAATGATTCCATCTTCAACCTCCCAACGTCACACTTCCCAACACAAGCACAACAACGATCATCATCATGTACATACCACTCAAGAATCCCTCTCCGAGCTTTCTTTAGATGATACAGGTGAGGACTATTTAGATTCACTTTCCGCTGTTTCTTCGGACTATGGCAGTCTTGCATCATTAAGTCAATCATCAGCATCGGAACATCATGCCTTGTTGATGAGCAGTACTCGTAATGTTGTTGCACATAACTTCAATGAATTACCCAATGAAATTCTTGTACATATATTAATTTTTTTAAACGGAGCACAAATTTTAAAGTTAGAAATCTTGTCCAAAAAATTCTATCAACTCATTCATCATGAAGATGAATCCGAACGTCAATACAATAAGAAAATAAGAAGAAAAAGAATTCTTACCAAAGAGAAGAGAAAGGAGCAAAGAAGATTATCCATTAATTTAGCAACAACGATAGCATCTTCAGGTCTAGATTTGCATTCCATTACTTCTGGTTATGAATTTTGGATCTTTTTGAATGAGGTTCATTTCAAAGAGGAAACTCAAAGAAGAAGAAAAGAATATCCATCAGCTATTCAACCTAGAATATTTTACATGTATCATTTGAAAGTGGCTTGGCTTAATGAAAAGTATGGTATTGAAAAGGCATTGAGGTCTCTTGAAGATGCTTTGACTTCACACCCATACTTTAATGAAGTGTGTATTTTTTCTCCACACTTGTTGAGATTGTACTACTTGTTGTACTTGATTGATAGAGATTATGCAACTATGGATTTGAGGTAAGTGTGTGAATGATGGTGATTCTTGATGTCACCTCATATTTCTTTTTTATCAATAGATATCACCCTTTTGAAGAACTCAAACTTGATGTGGAAAAACATGTGACACCCATTGCCAAACATGTGATGGAAAAGGACATCATGCGAGTTGGACAAGGCTCAATGAAAATGATTGCCATTGTAAAATTATCACCAAAAGATGTATTGAGAAATGTACAACCAGGTCAACAGGAATCACTCACACAAGAACAAATGGCTCAACAAATCTTGTTGGAAGCATATTCTGATAAAGATTTTAGAGATGACAGAGATGTGAGCATGGTCAAGTTTATTCATGAAATGAATCCATCATCACATGCAAATTATAGATATCAATTAGATGAAGAAGATGTTGGTGATAAAGCTGGAAAGATTACTAATACGCTAAATGCCATCTATAGAAGTTGGTATGCCAAGTGGAGAGATGTAATTAACAAGAATCGTGACTATCAATCTTTCAAGAGTTATGATTTTAGAGAGTTGGAGACAATTAAGATCAATTCTGGATTCACCTACGACAATGGACTCAGATGTGCAAATAGCTGGATCAAACGAGATTATGTTTATACAAAATTATTGCAGAGACAATTACATTAATGATGTATTATTTTCAATAATTAAGCCCTTCCTCATCAAACACAGAATTAAAAGATTCAAATTGTTAAAGTGTTGTCAATTGTTCAACATCATTGGTGTGTTTAAAGGAATAGGTTTTTCCTCCCACATCTTGTTTCACAATTTTGGAGATATATTCTCCAATGACTTGATTGGAAAAGCTGGATCCAGTCACTTCAGAAGGCTTTTTAATGTAAGCAGCAATTCTAAGTTCATTCAACTTGACACTCAATTTCTTTTCCTCAACTTCCTTATGGAGAGCTTTAATTAATCCAAACAATCCACTCACAGCAGAGGTGAGTAATCCCATCTTTCCAAACATGACTCTCTCTCCGGCAGCACCTTCAATACAGGATTCATGAATCAAAGCAACCATTGAATCACGTGAATCATGGTGTTACAAAATTTGCTCTTACAATAATACCTACCTGTAATGATGGTATAAGTTTTCAAATTTGGTAATGTTAAAAATTGTTGCGCGATCACAAAGTGGCTCAACAATGAATTTTTCAAAAGATCCAAATAATCCGAGACAGAGGTTTCAGTGGGATAGCTCTTTTGCCACCAACTTCCAAGAGAGGATACCACATGATCCACATGACCATACTTTTCAAGAATTTCTTGTTTCAAATGGATTGCTGCTTGCTCTTGATCATCAATGGTTTGATGAATGGCGATCAAATTCTGTTGCAATTCATGGACAGCTTGCTTTTTCAATTCTTCTAAAGCTTCAGATCTTCGTGATGGAACAATCACGAGTTTTCCTTCTTTAAGGAATTTCAAAGCAATGCCTGATCCAACCACACCTGCTCCGCCAGCAACAAGGACAACTTCTTTAGATGAAGACATTTCAAATGAATGAATGGCTCAACTCGAGGAGGAGTGCAATCAATGAAATATTTTTTTTTAGTGTTGTTGTTGTTAACTTTCAGAAACACCAATCTCTGATTTTGAACATTTACTTTATACATGCGCAAATTAAAGCGTGCGTTTGAGGGATCGCTCTTTCTTTTAAAAAGAAATATTTGAAACTGAGCTTTTTTACAAAAACATTCAACAAAATCAAAACTTTTAATTGTTGCATTTAGGCTTTTCGTAAGAAATCTCATCAAGCATTTGGTTAAGCTCTCAATTAGGTCAAGTTCACATTCCTTCTATTCTGGACTCCCGCGCACTTTTTCGTTCAAAAAAATGTCAACCAAGAGGAAAATCATTGACGATCCATCACTCCAAGATAATCACCACACAAAACTCACCAAGTATTTTCATCATCATGACCAAGAGAAGCGCATTTTCCCCTGTGAGATTCTCCTAGAAATAATGAAATATTTGCCAATCACAGATCTTTGCTCGGACTCATTGGTTTGCAAACAATGGAATGATGTTGCCCACAACAATCATTTATGGAAATCACTCTATGAGAAGCAATACAAGGATCATCCCTTCTCTTCAAAGGATCCATTATTTGGAGGTGATTTGATTGAAAATTTAGCAACATTTAAATTTTCAAAGTGTCTCTTCAAGGCCATGTTTGCTCTCAAGAAGAGCTTTTACCAATTACAAGTCATTTCAAAACAAAATATTTATCCAGACATGGTAGAATTGTTTGAAGGCGATCAAGATGAAGGATTTACATTCAAGGAAGGAGAAGAAAATTTTGAACCTACACTCGAGATGAAACAAATGATTAAAAGTTGGACACCTTCTTCTAGTGACGATGAAATTAGTGGAAACAAATATGGTTACTTTATATGTGAAGAATGTGCAGAGAATGAAAATTTGATCAAAGTGGTGTTCAAAAATCCACTTACTGAACAAGGTAAGAATGACAATGTGCATTCAACAGGTTGAATAATTGTATTTGAATGTACATTGTTGGTCCATGCTGTTCATTTTCATGCTTGAACACTTCAAACACGTTATATGATTCATCTATATGTCCTATTTTCCCTTCATAATAGTATTCGTATTCTTTGAAATTTCCAATAGCAATCCTTATGGAAGTATTCACTTGGAACATGAAGAAGAGTGTTTTGCTCTTAACTTTGAAGGATGTTTGCATATGGAAAATGAGAGTATGAATGAATGTGAATTGCCCAATTTCGATTTTATGATTGCTCTTCAGCGATTTATTAATGATGTCCAAGAATGTCCAGAACATTTGTTGTACTATGCAAGACAAACGTTTGAGGTTGAAAATATTCTTGGACCAAAGAAAGGAACTATTTATTGACCTATTTCTATACTGGACGTATTCTCACACTACTATTATTATAACCTAATTGTACTTGGTATATCCATCGTTCACTCAAGGAACAACGACAATCTACAACCCTTTGAAATTATATATAAGGACTCACCACCTTTTTTGTGCTTAACTTTTATCTTATTGGGCTAGAGCAAAACAATGATTCTTAAATAATTTGGTCAATACGCAACGCGTTTCCAACACCATTGTGGTCATCTGCGTAGTTCTCCTTTCGACTGAGATGGTTGACTTTTTCATATATATTATTAAATACCCTCTTCCAACTCAAAATGAAGATGTGTATCGGCGCAATTCCCATTTCACACATTTGATTTGGAATTGATTTATCCAAATCGAACTACCATTTCATGAGAATCTCCCAAAGATCCTCACTCTTGTTTGCAACCCCATTTTTGTTATCCTCACTTTAAAGCCACAAGAATTTAAAGAATTGAAAGAAGAACAAAAAAATTCATCCTGCGAGTTAATGTATTTACGATTGATTGATCAGAGGAACCACAACATGACATCTCTCAATTTTAAACAGGAAATACCTGCAACAACAACAACTCCTTCGCGAACCGCTACCAACAAGACAACCTTTAACAGGATACAACTTGGTCTTGTATACAATGATGACGCGAATTCATCATCTCTTGCACCTGATCAATGTTTAAAAAAGTCAGTTCATGGTCATCCACATACATTGAATTTCGCAACAGAGCACTTGTCATCGCAAGTGGGCAACACCCCTCAAGAGATCCCTTTGAATCTTAAACTAGAGTTTAATGAAAGTGAGATGGAAATGCTTGATCTTTATTTCCAACAAAAGATCTTGTATGATATAAAGTTTCAGTCCAATAAGACCAACTCGACGAACACTACTTCTGTTGCAACGATCAAAGAAGCTTCCTCTCGAATCGCAGCTGACTTGCGAGATCAAACCCATGAGAATCCCCACCACCACCCACAACAAGTCACCACACCTGTCCAAGCGCTCGATCTCTATCCCCCCTCTCTCTCAAAGCTATTTTTCATTAAGGAGAGATTCATTGTTGTCAAGCTCTTCATCCTCCTCTACCACATCCACTCCCTCTCTTGATGCCTCTCCCATACATCCTCTTCCTGACGAATCGTGCATGAAAAGGTCGAGTTCCAAAATCACGAAAAAGAGGGTTCGTTCAAAAAGTAATTACAGTCATAAACCAAGGAAAGGATTCACCAAAGTAGATCACACTACGTGGCAATTTCATTCCTACGAGAAGGGAAAAATTGTTTCCAGTGATCTCGTCTTTCTTTCATTCACTCCCACTTCCAATACAATCAGTTTCAAATAAATTCAAAAAATACAATTC